AAAAAAACAAAAACGGTGCATTGTTAAAAAATGGAATACAATTTTTTTTATTGCAAATTTTTTGCAAAAAATTATACACCCCTATTCTGCAACTCTTTCGTATTCGGATTTTGCTACGAATCGTAGAAATAGTATGCTGCAATCCGAATCGTATTTTCGAACTTTCAAAATTCGTAACAACGGCATGCTTAAAAACGAACGAGTAACCTTTTTTGCGTAATTTTGCACGAAAACAATTCTGTGTCGGAGGCGATAAAAGATCTAAATCGATGTGTGTTTGCAAGAAATATTGGTGGTGTTCATTTAAACAGATAAATTTGCCTTTCGTATATTTTTATCTACTGCTTTGTATAAATGAGCAAAAAAGAATATTTGTTGCCCCTTATCGAGAAACTTGGGTCCGGTTTAGTTAATGTACAACGATTTGCGGGTGTTGTGTGCAAACGCATAACCCGAATTCAAAAACTTTAACATACCCGTGTAATCAAAGGATTAACATTTTATTTAAGATAGATGTTTCAAATTTCCTACCGCTAGCTTATTAATAAACTCGGTTTTCACTATGCACTTTTTTGCAAATTTCGACGTGGGTTCTGCGCAAAAATACTGTGGACGGCGTAGCCGGAGTGATATGCACGAGAAATGTTGTATACCTTTGACATGCGGAAGCCCCTCTTCCCCGCAACACAGAAAGGTGAATTCTACTTATTAAGGGTTATAGTCCCAAAGCGCGGCCGAAGGCAGAAGCAAGCGAATTACGAAAACTCGGGTTCTAGAATAAGGGGGATAGTTTTCATCAAAAAGCATAGTGCATAAGTGTGACATGAGATAAGAATTTTAAGAAAACATGTGACTAAGAAAAATGGCTATAGGTAATTTGCATATGTATGGCCTTATTCATAAAAAATAAATAAGATTTATAAAAGGTTTATAAATTTAAAACAAACTATGAAAACGTCAGTTTATAAAGCTCTTTAATCCTACTTTATTTTTTATGAATAAAGCCATTAAACTCGTATAACTCGGAAGAAACCGCGGTAGAAAAAAATTCTTTTACACACCGGTTACTCGTAACTATAGCAAAACCTAGTGCAGTTTGAACAAAAAGCTGCCATACAATTTTTGGGAAAATTTTAGTTTGGCATCCCCCGCGTACAAAAAAAGGTGGTTATGGTCATAAATGTAAAAAATATGTTTGTATTTCATTGTGCGTGCTTTTAATGCAGCTATTTTGCCGAAGTGTGTACGTAAATATAGTGTTTATTGTGTGAAATAGCGCCGAGGTTAGTTCAATTTACAAACTTTAACAACAAATAACTTAAAAACTATAAGCCTCCGGCGGCTAAAAGTATGTATATATATTTGCAATCAGGAGAATTACCTACCGTTCCATAGCTACCTTAATGCGGAACTCCGGGGATGCCAAACTAAATTGCAGCAAATTTTTTTTCTTCGTACACTTGGCGAGTTTTTCCCTACCTATAGTTTTTTTATGTGATTCAACATTTTTATACATACTTTTATAAAAATTCGAAAATAAAAGTCGTCATACGGCAACACTCGATTAATTTGACACTAATTGCAGCAGATTAAATTGCTAGTGCAACACGAGCAAGTCGAAATATATTTCCGAAACGAGCTACAATTAATGCCGTAGTAACATTTTCAATATCTGAATTCTGTCGTTAATGGTGCATGGTGTCAAGTTAGCACTACATACTAGATTTTGTTTGAAAAAGGTGCAACTCAATTTTTTCCAGAAAAACGAAAGCTACAAATTTTTTCTTTCCACAACAAATTTTAAAGTTAAAAGCTACAATTTATGGCATAGTAACATATTGGATATCTCAATTCTATCGACTAGGTGTATGGTGTCAAGTTAGCACTACATACCATTTTTTCTTAAAAAACGGGAGCTACAAATTTTTTCTTTCCACAACAAATTTTAAAGTTAAAAGCTACAATTAATGCCGTTATAACATTTTCAATATCTCAATTCTATCGACTAGGTGTATGGTGTCAAGTTAGCACTACGTACCATTTTTTCTTAAAAAACTAGAGCTACAAATTTTTTCTTTCCACAACAAATTTACAACAAAAACACTACAATTAATGCCGTAGTTAACTTTTCCAATTTCGAAAAGTGTAGTGCTAACTTGACACACGTCAATGTTGCAAACAAAGTTGTATGAACGACCTATCGCAACTCCGGATTGCAAATGCAAAATTAAAAAAAAAAATGCTGCACGTTAAAGAAAAATAAATTGTTTTACAATTACATATCGAAGCAGCCTTATTAACTGATATACTTTTTCTGGAATATTTGAAGACAATAAAAAAACATATGTTTCGCGACTTTTACTTTACAATGATTGCCAGCTCAAATACTATGGCAATGTCGCAAGAAAGTTTCCATACAAATGTAATAAGCTGGAACGCATGGTGGCAAATTTTGCGACAAATGCCAGATTTGCAACAACTTTGCGACGTTTCATGAATCCCACTTGTATAAAAAAGTTTAATAGCATATAAAAAAATACTTCTAATTAATTTATTTTCTTGAAATAAACTATTTTATTTTATTTTGTGCCATTTTATGTTATAAACATAAAAATATCTGGTAACATAGTTGAAAATATAATTTTCTACATACAATTTAGGGGTCTTGTCAATAGTGATAAACTCATGATAAACTTGGTAAAGTGATAAATTTATCATTTTGATAAATGAACTGTCAAACTTTGTATGAAAAACTATTTAGCCAAAGTTTATCACTTTACCAAACGATTTTGGTGGATAAACGCATATATTTCCGCAAAATTCCACTCTGATATGTTGCCAGGTGGTAGATTTTGTTACGAACACAAAAAGAAAATTTGCACAATGGACGACGTAAGAATGAAACGTTACTAGCCAGGTAAGTTAAATAATAACCAATTTTGTGCAATTGCTTACGAAGGTATGTTTATGAAAAAAGCGGATAAACTGATAACTTTAAGCAATTAATCCCTTTATCACTTTACATGAAGACCCCTTTTGTAAACAGATCAAAAGTATCTAGCATCGGAAAGTTCGAACAAAAACTGCTTTTGAAATCACTTCACGAGCAAGGTGCTTCGGGCAGCCTCATAACTGCTCCTGCAATCACTTTTGAAAATTGTTGAGTTTTACAGACATTTTAAAAGGACTTGCACTTGCCACATGTAACAGCTACTCTATACTGATAAGCGAATGGGCAGTTGTTAATGCTAATTATTAAAAATAAACAAATACTACTCACCGTAATGTTGGCGTGGATATCATAACGCTTGCCATTTTTGCCAATAAATCGGCATGTCAGCTCGTCAACACTGGAATTCAGTATTTGAAAGCGCTCGTGGTTCTTGTTAAATATCTTTTCCAGCGTTTTTATTTCCAACTTCAATGTGTTCAAACAAGCCATCTTGAAGCAGTCAGAATCTGCGTTGGCCTCGTGTTTAGCCGCTCAGCTGGGTAAATTAAGTTATGGTGTCGACTGCGGAGTAAGCAGCAGAGGGGGTTGTTTAAAGTCACTTTTCTTTCGCTTATTTACTTCGTCTTCCCTTTGCTTGCCACTTGAGTTGCCACCAATATGTATGATGATAATGTTGCTGATGCTGGGACTCCCGAGACTGGTTGTCACAGTTAGTTATTTTCTTCCACAGAGGCGAGTTTTTAGGTTTGTCACTTTCTTTGTATTTCGATTTGTTACTTTAGGTGCATTAACTGTTAAATTGCAAACGCGATGATGCTGGGTTGCTCGTGTTTGCTCGATACTCGAGCACTACGCAGTGGCTCACCGAGTTGCTAATCGAAAGCACGAATCTGCTGATGTCAAAATCAGGCAGCAAAGAACGTAGGGTTGGACCGGCTGAATGTGCGGGTGTGTAAAGGCGCCCAGGTACACGGCCGTTTTATCCACCGTAACCGTCAATACTAGCAACGCCAACGTCAACCTTAACGCTGATATCTCTGTCGACTGCGCAGTAACAGTCGCCAGAAATCGCTGTTCCAGGTCGATTTAGGGCGGATTTCTATTTAGAAATCGAATTTTTTCTTTCTCAAACTTTTAGAACTTCGATGTTTTAATACATAGAAAACACTACAAAGTTATTATTTCACACTTTTTTACGTTTGGCAAATTACGTATCATGAAATTATGTATAAATTTTTTCGTTTTTTTTTCACTAGAAATTTACAGTTTTTATGCCTTCTTATAATAAATGGCAATTTTGATAATGTTATCAAAAAATATGTACGCGTTCGTAGTTATTAAATTAAATTAGATGAGTAAAAAATCAAATCAAAAACTCAAAATCGACCAAAACGTACGAAAGTACAATGAGATACGACAAAAGACGACATGAAGTGCATACTGCGACAAGAGGAAAAAATAAGCTGCGGTGAAGAAATCGAACCGAATCGAAGAAATTTACTGAGCACAAACTTGGAATTGGCCACAGAGGTCTACAAGTCCCTTTTCACTTCAATTCCGCTGCCTTTGCCTTTTCATCCAGACTACCAACACTATCCCTCACACACCGTTCGGGATCCTATTTCCATTGTTCACAAAATGTAAAATTGCAATTTTTCTTCCTTTGCACTTATGAAATTGTCTAGTTTCTTCAAAGTTCTATTGCAGTTTGGTATATTTTTTTACAAAATGTTATTCGTTGTTAATTATCACACACGCGATTAAAGTTTCTATTAAAGCACAAAAGATTCGCAGAGCTGTGAAAATTAACCAAACCGAAAATCACTTTCGCCAACAAATACAAGAAGCAAAGTGAAACGGAAGACAAAAATTTACAAAGGGTATAAAACGAAGACAGCGATTGCGATGCGCCGGCAGCATTGCCATATTGATTAATTCAAGTTTATCACCAATCAATTTTAATCAAAGTTTGTGCTTGACTATTTTACTATTAAAAGGTTTTAAAATTGATAGAAGTAGTTTACTACTTTACTGCCCGTCTCCACAGGATAAAGTTTATATCTGGATACATGTGTTAGGATATAAATATCCAATTGCTCTTCAAGAGCTCTTATATCTTGCCATCTATTGCCAACAATTTGGTAGTTTGACAACTACATTTTTATTTGCATGAAAACTTCGTGGCGGCAGCATCATTCATATTTTAAAACAAAAGCAAAAATTTAGCTGTTTCCTGTTAAAATATTTGTAATTATGTACTTGGATGTAAATTAGCCTCTTTCATACATTTTTTTTAAGCGATTAAATTCGGCAAAAATTTTCGAAGCTATATCACAAATGCTTTTATGAAGATATAAAAAGCCCACACAAATATTGCCACTGATATGAATGAGAGCTGGACAGCAATAAAGTTAACCCTGTGGAGACCGCCAGTTATATACATATATAGTATGTCATAGGAATTTTCTTTAACCCCACGTCTTCACCTTCTACTAAATGTGTCTTAACATCTGTCAAATTACTGTTTTAACTTTGTCCCGTTTTCTCATGTGGGCAACTTGCTGCCTTAGTTGGGGTTTACATAGGACAAGTTTGCGCAGACAATAGCAATACATTCACTTCCTACTAATACATTGGAACTTCCCTCATTGTCTTCGTCACTGTTTTTGATTTTTCGAAACAGTGAATTGGACAATTCGGTCACGCCTTGGTTAATTAGAGAAAAAAAGGCAAGCAAAAATATTAACAAATCGCAGAATTATGAAAAAGTGGTTTGTGTTTGGATATTTTAGTAAATAAGATGAATTTCACGCCAAACGACGCTAACGGCGGTTGCTGAAAAATGTATTGTCTTATAATTGTCCGGACGCCTACTTTACACAACAATTTGACAACTAATACATATTCTCAATTGTCTTGTCTCAAATTGTCCTTTGTAAACGCATCGTTAACATATCACTTTCAAAATGGCATCAAGCCAATCAGGTTGTTATTTGCCTCACCAGAATGGTGAGGCTGTGGTATGTAGCAAGAGCTGTCAAAAGTTAAAAAATTCTACTCTAATGCTACTCTAAGGGCCGGTTTCTCCATCTCTGGTTAACACTAACTCCCCGGTTAAACATTGTTATCGACGTTCTAACTCCATGCATATAACAGGGAGTCGATAAGGTCGGTAACGATGTTTACCGGGGGATTAGTGTTAACCGGAGATAGAGAAACCGGCCCTAAGGGCCGTTTTCACCATCTCTGGTTAACACTAATCCCCAGTTAAACATCGTTACCGACGTTACTGACTCCATGCATGCAACAATGTGTTGATAACGTCGGTAACGATGTTTAACTTGAGATTAGTGTTAACCAGAGATGGTGAAAACGGCCCTAAGGGCCGGTTACACAATGTCTGGTCAACACTAATCTGCGGTTGAACATCATTATCGACGTCTTCGACTCCATGCATACAAGAGCTGTCAAAAGTTAAAATATTCTAAGGGCCGGTTACTCAATGTCTGGTGAACACTAATCTGCGGTTAAACATCGTTATCGACGTCTTCGACTCCATGCATACAACAGGGAGTCGGTAACGTCGATAACTATGTTTAACGAGAGATTAGTAACCGGCCCTAAGGGCCGGTTGTTCAATGTCTGATTAGCACAAATCGGAGGTAGAAGCTCCGGTTAAGCACAACAACTGCTTTATCGATCACATGTTACATGCATGATGTCGAAATCGTCGATAGTGTAGTGGTAGTGATAATCAGACATTGAACAACCGGCCCTAAATGCTCTAAACTGCCCACAATATGTAGCTGTGGTTATGGTGTATTTTATTGCTTATGTAGCTGATGTAGCTAGCAAAATAGCTTGTGGCTGTGGTACTACTTTCTGTTTAACCAGTAAGACAGAAATGTCAAGTGGAGACCTCAAATTTCCACTGTCTTGCCGAATTCCGTGGGGGCAATGAACAGCGAAATTCGTAAAGGCAGATGTGGTTTAACAGTGGAAATTTGCGGTCTCCATCGAATATTTCTGCCTAAACACAGTTTTTTTTTAACAGAATCTGTACAAGGTGGAGACGTGGGGTAAAATTTGTACTAACCACCACACTTGTTCATCGTGGGATTCTTTCTTCGCTGTATTTTTGTACTGTGTTTCTGCGCTTGCCACAAAGACGACTATATACAACCTATGATCATCAGTATAACCTGGTACATAAAGTTCTAAATAGTTCTTAAGCTTGGTACCGAGTACCAAGCCAACTTTTGATTCAACAAATCGCCTCTAAAATTGCTTGGAAAATCGACTCATGTGAACACCGTTTAATGATAAAATTTCGACATTGGGGTTGTTCAGGATATTGTGCAAATGGTTTTGCATTTCACTTGTATGTCCATTTGCAAATTTTATGCTTGCTACCATGGTAACCGTTTATATTTTAATCTTTTGAATTTACAAATGAACCGAAATACATATGCACAAGATCCTGAAATCCAATTTTGTAGTAGGTAGTAGGAAGGCTAATACAAATAAATCTCATGAAAACTGTTCCACATTAGGAACAACTCGAAAACATTCCTGAGTTTAATCATGTGAATGTGCACATTTAAACAAATGGAAAATTTGAATCCAGTTAAAATTTGGGCAATTCTCTAGTATTGCGTACAACTGTTAAACAAGGTCCAAAAATGTCGGAAAAGGGCACCAATGGACGTAATTCGTCCCTGTAACAACAATCGAGAGGCGGAAGGTAAATATTATTAACAATTTCAAAGTTATAACCAAAAAACTTTTGTTAAATTCCTTGTACTCTTGTAGCCGGTAAATTTTACCATCTTGTAAGCTGGTAACAAATTATTGCCCCGTGAAATATGCAATGCCAGAATTTGCACAATTCTTCATAGCTGAATCGCTGAATATTTTTACTGCATTACCAACGTTCCTAGAATCACAGTGACAAGAACTGGTAATATTTTTTGGTAATACAATTTTCCGGTTACAAAATCTCCGGTAACGTGCAGAATAGACCTGATAGTGGTGTAATTGCTCATCCAAAAGCCAAATTTAACAAGTTTTTTGGTTATAACTTTTAAATTGTCAATAATATTTACCTTCCGCCTCCCCATTCTTACGGGGACCGAATCACGTCGATTGGTACCCTTCCCTACATATTTGGACCTTTTTAGCAGTTGTACTCTATGCTAGAGAATTACTATCTTGAGTGTCTGAGGATCATTCTTCGAATCGTAATATCTGGGGAGATAGAAACCAAAACCAAAAAAATAAGATAATGGCACAACACCTAAATAATTTTGTGTAGCTAGACAATGACGAACTAGGTTATGTGGTTAATCACTGCTGTTTTTTGTAGAATGGCAACACTGATTTTATCCGTTTATCGTCGGGTTGGTGATTTATCATGCAGAATGTTTTCAACAATCATTTTCGCCTTCTCTTTTCAGCAAATATGGATAAGTTTTATCTATTGAAAAATGCATTTGTTTTTCCTTACACTTGCACCTACACTACGAGTACATTTTAGGTTTTTGTAGACAACGACACAGCGGTTGGGAAGTTGTATGAATATTTTTATCTTATTGTGCTTTATATTTATTTTATTTTAATTTAAGAGCTAAACTACCGGAACGCACGTACACTCTGCTACGCCTGCTGCCACTGTTGCCACTTCGTAAGAATATTGTGATATCGATAATCCTTGACTACTTGACGGATTTACCAAAAATATCTAGGTTCTTATCACTGGATTATTAAATAAACGCTCACGATGACCAAATTACAGTTCAATTAACTTTATTGTACAACAAACACTTTACAATACATGTTTATGCAATAACAACAATTAACAGTACATACTCATTCCCACGACAGCCGGTTCTACGTACCGGAATGACTCGGGTTTTACCCGACCAAGGGCTGTTGTTTCGGCGATCTTACCCCGTTTAGGTCGCCGAAGTATCTCAGTAGTTTTTCGTCCATAGGGCTACATTCGCTACGTTTTCTCCTACTCAGGGCTGGCATCGAGTCAAACCCAGGGCCAGAAACCTACACCTGCTGTGTATGCCAGAGACGACTACACCACAACTCCACCTCTGTCAAGTGCAATGCTTGCGAGGAGTGCAGTCACCTCAGAGTCTGCTCAGGACTACGGACACATCGGCAGTGGACCACGTCTTTTGTGGCCCCCTGTTGCTCTAATAGAGCAGCCTCCACGGCTTACCCCAGTCCACCTGAGCACTACCACACAAACACCACAGCACAACAACATAACACAATAGACCACACCACAACGGCTACAGACCACAGAATACACACAACCACACCACCACACACACGCCGCCGTCAACAATGCCTGGTTCCTCCTACAATCTGCACGGTATGTCAGACCAGGATATTCCGTAATGTGACATCAGTCAAGTGCAACATCTGCCTTGGCTGGTGCCACTTTAGGGCATGCTCAGGTCTGCGCACCACGCGAGATTGGACGAGGAACTTCGAGGGCCCGTGTTGCGCTGCTCGGTCGCAGACCTCAACTGCGACGCCTCCCGCCACCATCAACTTTTCTAAGGCTGATTGGAAAGGCTTCGCGGAATTTACTGAAAACACCTTCGCTGCGCTCCCCACACCAACCGACATCCACCTTGGTGAACGTAAGTTCCGCAGGGCTGTCACCGCTGCTGCAGCCCGCTTCGTACCGGCAGTATGTATCATCGACCCACGCCCAAATTTCCCTGCTTAAGCGGCTGTTCTAGCCGATGAGCGTGACAGCCTTCGTCAGGCCGATCCCCGAGATCCCCGTATCAGGGATCTCAACGCGGATATTCGGCAACTAGTAAACGTACATAAGCGAAAGAAGTGGGAAGAGCATCTGAAGACCTGCAACTTCACCTCTGGTTTGAGTAAGCTTTGGTCAACCGTGAGGTCACTGTCCAATCCGACGAAGCACGACGACAGAGTCGAAATTTCTTTCGGCGACCATGCTTCGTGGGACCCGGAGCGATGCGCGAGCTATTTTAGCCGGCAGTTCATACTGCATCCTCCGGTGGACAAAGCCAAGCGTCGAGTGACCAGAAGGCTGCACAAACTGCCAACAACCTGTGCCCCCCTTGCTTTCACTTGCGGTGAAGTTCAGGTGGCCATCGGGAAGGCGAAAGCCTCCAAAGCCATGGGTCCCGACGGAATATGCATGCTGATGCTGAAAAATTTGGGTCCTGCGGGGGTAGCGCACCTAACGGAGGTCCTCTCATCATCCCAGACATCTGGAAGGTGGGGAGAGTGGTGCCACTGCTCAAACCGGGGAAACCTGCCAACATAGGAAATTCTTATCGTCCGATAACACTCCTTTCCCCGGTAGCGAAGACACTCGAGGCCTTGCTACACCCGTATTTCACAAATTACTTGACCTCAGCGAAGCATCAGCATGGTTTCCGTAAAGTGCACAGTACAACAACAGCACTTAACGCCATAAACACTCAGATAACTCGTGGCCTTAAACGTAAACGTCTCTGTGAGAGAACGATTCTAGTAGTGTTGGACCTGTCAAAGACTTTTGACACTGTCAGCCATTCCACGCTACTAGAAGATATAGAGGCTTCCTCTCTCCCACAGAGGCTCAAGCGGTGGTCGGCAAATTATCTAATGAAAAAAAGGGGGTTCCACAGGGTGTCCTTCTCCACTACTGTTTAACTTTTACATTTCAAAGCTCCCTCAACCACCAGAGGGAGTCTCGATTGTCTCTTACGCCGACGATTGCTCGATCATGGCGACTGGGAATGGAATTGATGACCTGTGTTCGAAAGTAAACGGATATCTCTGAACTTTCTCGCTTCTTCACTGCAAAGTGTCTAGTCCTCTCCCCTACGAAATCCTCTGCGACCCTTTTCACAACCTGGACGAAGGAGGTCAGGCTACCGCTAGGAATTTACGTCGATGACACACCAATTCCGACAGAGGAGCCCTCAGGAGGCACGTCAGAAGGCATCTATATGAACTGACGGACGAAGTCCAGAGGTTCATTAAGCAGCCTCTGGACCCGTCAGCTCACAGATAGGCCCTGAACGGCATTCACAGGGACGCAGTCTCGAGTTATGTAGACGCAAGACCTGTGAATGCCGTTCTAGGCACACAAACACCGGACATTGACGCGACGAAGCTCCATCTACCTCGGGAGACCAGGACAACAATAGCCCAACTTCGCTCTGGCTACTGCAGCAGGCTAAATTCCTACCTGAGTAGGTTAAATGCGGATATGCCGAACGAATGTCCGGCATGCGGAGAGACCCCTCACGACTCGAAACATCTCTTCGCATGCCCGGAAAACCCCACAACCCTAACGGCGTCGTCCCTATGGACCGACCCCATAGAGGCTGCACGCTTCTTGGGGCTGCCGTTAGTGGAACTCGACGACAACGACTGAGATATCAGCCGATCTGGGCGGGGTTGTTGTAGCCGCTACAACAACAACAACAGTACATACTTCTTAAGGCAATTAAAACACTTCACAAAGCTAACCAGCCGTCTCCACATGCTTGAAAATCTCGCTTGCGTTCCGCTTTTTTCACTCGCAAGCGAGATAGTTTTGTTGACTGGGCATTTGACAGCATACTTTTTCATTTGTAAAATGTCGCCACACATGAAGGTTCAAGCCTTGCAGGCTCTTAAAAGTTTAAGAAAATTAGAAAATCTGCATAAAGAGATGTATACTATTTCAAATGAAAAATGGCTGCCTCAAAATTTGTATTTGTCTCCAAAGTAAACGATGTTGCTACTCTGAAGAATTCTGCGAAATGGGAACATAGCTTTCAAACAACAAAAATGACAGTTGAAAGCTAGCGAGAGCTCGCATTCCGCTCGGTATGCGAGAAAAAGCATGCTTCGTACTTTTTGCGGTCTACACGTGCGGTTTCTCGCA